ACCATTTCAGTTTTAATCATTACAAGTAAAACTGAAAGATTTCTTACCTTTTTGAACTAAAAAAAGGTGCAGCATTATCCTCCAACTCCATTCAATAAGTTTAGGATTAGATGTTACTGTCGAAAACCGCAGGTTTAGCACGACTATAGATCTCAAGATTTAAGCTGATGCAGCTGGTTACTTTTATTGCCGTCAGATATTCCATTGCTCATCGATTGCTGGCTCCAGTAGGTCATCACCATATAACTCCTACAGATTTTTGCAGATCCAGCAGTTCTGAAGACCAAAACTCAATAACAACATTAAAAATTACAAATTCAACAATCATTAGTTTCATTAACGTTGCATATTTCAGGAAACTGACAGCCAAACCTTCCCCTGAATAAAATTTAGCCGATTTCACACAGAAACAATAATAAAAAAGCAGATTTCAAAAAAGCACACATTTTCATAAACCTACAATGAGAAAAATCAATAACTATTTTCAGAGAAAATAATGATAAAGATTTTACTAAGCACCAATGTTGGTAAGCCTTCTTTTTAAGACAAAAAAATTGAAGAAAGAAAAGTGAATAGAAAAAAAAAGACGAGAAGGATAAAAGCGGCAGAAAATGGCAAAAATATTCCTTTCCTTGTCTTGCCCTTTTCATTTTTCATCTGTTCCTAAGGTAGGCTTAGCAATGATTAAATGTTAATTCGCATTTTGCAAGCCTTTTATAAGAGAAATTTGTTTGGTGTGTTAATTTAAGACAGCAAAGCAAAGCAAAAAAAAATTTTGAGTTTTGGTAAAGAAAAGAGGAGAAAAAAAAGATCAGAATATAAAGATTGGCAATTTTGTCACAAAAATGACATCTGAACTGACATTCAGATAGCGCTACAACTTTTTCTGACATTGCTGGATAAACAGTTTCTCGTCACTTTCTGTTGTATTTACCGATTTAGCCTATTTGATTGCAAAGAACTTTTTGCACCAAAGAAAAAAACTTCACCGTCACCGACATCTCTCCTTCCATCTTTCCTTCTCCATCCTTCAAACTTGCTCGCCTCCCCACCTTTCAAAAGTATGAAATAAAATAACATGAAAATACAATCCAATTCTTCCTTTTCTACTAATAATAAAGCTTAAAGTAAAATCCACTTTTTTAAAGATAACTAATTTTTCATTTCTTTGTCTTGTACGCTGATCAGCAGCTTAA